CTCCAAAAATAAAATAACTGTTCCTGTTTGGTTATATAATACAAATACCGGCGCATCCGAGTTGGGTCCCGAGTACTAGGGATAAATCACAGGTACTACACTAGTTGGGTCCTGGATTTTTTTAGGTACTACACTAGTTGGGTCCAGGATATTTTTGGGTACCACACTAGTTGGGTCTGAGATTATTTTAAGTAAATATACAATCCAAACGAAAAATGATATTGAACGATGGAGATGCACTCAGAGAACATGTAAGTCATTTTTTTAAATATTCCAACAATCAATTTATCAAAATTTATAAAAAACAAAATGAATCAAAAAAATGCAGGAATAATAAATCGATTTGATTTTGCAAAATTAATGTCTTAAAAAATTTTAAGAACACACGTGTGATTTCTTTAAACAATATTTTATTTATATTATACAATACCTATGTATTTTTTATATATGATTTATAACAATTTTCAGTGGCGGATCCAGGGGGGGCAAAGGGGGCATTTGCCCCCCCCCCCAAACGCCCTGTAGTTGCCCTATCTTTTATATCGTAGATATTAATACTTCTAGTAGAGTTAGGTACAGTTACAGTATTCAATAATCATATAATCATATCATATCATATCATATCAATTTCCATACGAGAGTTTTATTGTAAACATGGAAAAATTACAATCCTGATAATTTCTCACCAGTCTAATAATAGCACATAAGTTATTAGGTTTCCTTATCATAGTTCTGGTGATTATTGACAGTCGACACAGACGTAAAATGTACGTTTCGTGTGCGCTAATTAAAATAATTAAAAAAATTTTTTTTAAAAAACACTTTTCTAAAAAAACAAAAAAATAATGAAAAATTTAAAAGTGTGGTATAATATGTCAAGTGTAAGAGCGCCACACACTTTTAAATTTTTCATTATTTTTTAGTTTTTTTAGAAAAGTGTTTTTTTTATTTTCTACTCTTAAGTTAAAAAATTTTTTTTACGGATTATTGTATTGTCATCCAAGACCAAGGTCTATACCAATTTTCAGAATTTTTCATCTTCAAAAAGTGCCTCAAATCGAGCGCGCAAGATTTGATCACAGACGGACGTGAAACCAAACTTAAGAAAAGTGTTAAAAATAATAAAATTCAGGATGGACAGATATTGTGTAAATGTTGTAAAATATTTTGAACTTTTGCCCCCCCCAAAATTAAGCCCTGGATCCGCCACTGACAATTTTAATATATTTTTCTTTGTTTAGTACCTGCATGTTATTGCCATTTATTATTCAAATAAAATTCTAATAATTTATATTTTTAATGGAAAATAAACTAAAAAAATAAATTGTAAAAAACATTTTTAACCATAACTTTGGTCTAAATAAACAGTCATAAGTCTGTTAAAAAGGGAAGGAAAATAAACTTATGTAGTACTCAAAAAAAAAAAAAAATTAAGACCTCAACTATTGTTGTACGTGTGAAAATTCCGGACCCAACTAGTGTAGTACCTGCATAAATCCCGGACCTAACTAGTGTAGTACCTGCAAAAATCCCGGACCCAACTAGTATAGCATTTTTGAATTCGGGACCCAATTCGGATGCAGCCACAAATACTATACAAATAAAGGTATCGGTTTCAAATAATTTCGGTACCAGTTCCAGATAATTTAGTTACCGAAAAGCATAATCATTTTAAATACCTATCCGGAATACGGGTTTAATAGTAGTTAAAATAGTATAAAGTTAAATAGTTATATTATAATATTATATAGTTTAAATAGTATGAGAAATATTAGAAAACTCATATTATTATGATCATACATAGTTTATACACAAAACAGAAATACCATTAAATTAAGATCAATACAATTATTTTATTTTTGAACCTAAAAGAACCTATTTAATTTAAAAATGTCCGTTCGGTTCCGGTACTTTATTTATTAAAATAAAGGTTTCGGTTCCGGTTCCGGTTCTTAATATTTTAATTTTCCAGAACCGGTTCTTTTATTTTCTGTTCCAGTCCCTGGTGTAGAGCGTAGACGGTGCATTAAGTTGACTTAAATTATAAATATTATACACACACTAGCTGTAATACCCGGGGAAAATTGACTATGAATCCGAGATGAGCAATCCTCATGTGGCAGGCATAACTACTAATAACTAATAAGTAGTCAGTAACTTTTTTTCTTACGTGAATCAATTGCAAGCAGAAATAAATTTTTATTTGGTTATAGTTTTAATATTAATAACAGTGGGTATAACTGGATAAGCCACTCTAAAATACATTTGTTCAATCTACCATCTAAACTATATAGATAATATTATATACTATCAGCAAAAACATTCCTAAAATCGTCAAAATCGGTTGGGCATTTTTTGATTCTATAGATAAGCCTCAGTACACTAGTACACGTTGCCTTTTATAGAATATAATAGCTGATACCCGTGCCATCTATTCTAATACTCTTACAACCCATCTGGGATTCCAGAAATATGTGTGCCAATTTTAGGTCCCATTGGTCGAAAACCACAGAATATAACAATATAGCAAAAACTGTGAATTTTCATAGCGTCGTTTATATATATATATATATGCAGATATAACTCAAATAACATCTGTATTATTATAGCCGACTATCTATTATAATACTTACCTATCTATAGTTTCCGTTTTGCTTCTATTGAAATATTCTCAATTGTATTTTGGTAAAATCAGTAGGTAGAGTATTTTTACAGTACCTATATAAACTTCAACCATATACTTTGCCCCTAATATATAATAGATACTACTCAATTTTAAATTTATATATATAAAAGATTTATTAGCCTAAAATACATGTACCTAGTACCTACTGATGATATGTACCGAATAACGAATCTGCAAACCCTACGCGAACCTCAATGAATCTATTGGAATACCTGACTTTTATTTAAAACGGTCCAGTGGTTTTTGAGTATATGGCTATATGACAAATAAATCAATCAATCAATCATTTTTTTTCTATTTATTTATTTAATTTTTTTTATTGCCCGGCAACTATGGCTAGAAGCTATTTGAAGGCGGGCAGGGTACGGTTGGATTGGAACACGTGTATGTATATGTGGCAAGGATTTGTCACTAAAAATTCGGGTGGTCACCCATCCGGGAACTAGCGCTTGCACTCAGAACACGTTTCGAGCCACATCAAGCCACAACATTCATTTTTCTATATTAGAAAATTGTTCAAAGTACCATTATTGTAGCGTTATCTTTTTGTTAATAAAGATTTGATTTTCATAAGTAGTAAATTTTGAATTGAAAAAATAGCATAATATTATCTAAATACCTAATAAAATACTAACTAATATTAAATCAATTAATTACAAACATTACAAGGCAGTTCATTATTTTTTTTAATTTTAAAATCAATATTTTCTTAGCAGTTATATTTCACATTTATCTCGGTATAACAGCAGTTGATAGTCGTATAATAGCCATATAGACATATAGCCGTATAGACTATAGATAACGCATATTAAAGTTTATTACCTATATCACAAATCAATTTAACATTAAATAATATATTATTAAGTACATATATATTTGTACAAATACAATTATTTTAATGTCAAAAAAGATATTGTCATTACTCATTGAAGTTAAGAGTTTTATCAACCAATAATTTTAGTATGTGATAATCTAAAAACAAAATTGGCATATAATTATTCTCTGCATTGTGCAGACGATGATTAATTATTAATTAAAATATTATTTTTTTCTATCCAATTTTATAGAATTGTCTAGACTCTAGGGTAACAATATGTTTTTTTTTATGTAATAAGGGTTTAATAACAATTTGTTTGAAATAGTCAATATATCTCACATTCACCCCTATACTAAAGTAACGTAAGCTTCCAAATTATTGTAACATTGTACACCTAACGGATAACATTAAAATTATAAAGTTATTCTGAATATAGTCATATACTATATAATATTAAATATACTATACACGATGTGGTACCTACTACCTATATTAACACATTATATGCAAATACATATGCTTGGAAACGAGTTTATTACAATAAAACATTTATTAATAAAAAAAAATGTGTCTTACATAATATTTATATAATTGTTCATTATCTACTTATCATATTATGCAGATGTGTTTTAAATTTTAATAACATATTTGACTTATATTATATACCCATTTGATACCGTTTATATAATTTTAATTTAACATTGGACAATAGAAAGTAGAAGTTTGTGAAAATAATACATTGTGAACTTTATTTGGTTCAAGATTTAATTAGAACAATTATTTATATTATATATTTAGATAATTTCATAGTTATGTTTAAAATTGAAATCATAATATTTTTTTAATGTTATTCATCTATGTAATGACACAACAAGAACAATTTATTTTATATTTTATTCAAGATTATTTTATAATTGATTTAGCTTATGATTATAAAAATTATAACAATTAGCGAATGTCACGTTGTAATGAATTGGATTATATAAAAATCAATCAATAGATAACTACTAGAATTATCTACTCCAAATAATTTTTTTTTTTTACAACAAAAACAAGTTGTGGTATTGGAATATCATACAAATAAGTTACAACAATATTTATAAATAAAATATTATACTCTGGAGAAAATATATTTATTTTTTCCTTTAAAATAACATGTATAGGCAACCAAACATCGATATATAATAACTGAAGTATTCAAATATTTTAAAAATATGAATCCATTCATCTATTAAAATATTATAATATTCAAATAGTTTATTACTGTTTAACGTGAATTGGTTTAATCAAATATTTTAATGAAAACCGCATATAAATAAGAATTAAAGTGTGCAAGAAATTAGCCTAAAAACAATTATTGGCTCTGATTGTCCATTAATTAGCTTAGCCTATTTTGTTAATAAAAAAGAAAATCAATAAAACTATATTACTCTGAGGAACAAAACAAAACGTGTACATAATAATATATGGCTTGATTATAATATTGCTTCTTAGTTCTTATTTTTTCTCAGAAGATTTAGTGTTTTTAGACACACTTGGCGATCCTTTATTAGTACGTTTCGGGGCTACTGGTGGATCGTTTGAGACTATCGGTGTGGAATTATCAACAGAAATTTGAGAGGCTTGAGCTATTTCAGAAGGTTGAGATACGTTTTCCACTGGCACATCCGTTTTGGGTGCTGGTGAATCGGATTTAGGCGAATTTTCTTCAAGTTTTGAGGACTCTTTCGACTCTGTACTCGCATCAGAAGTCGGTGTTTCCTTTACAGGTTCCACTAGTTCCGGTTTCGGTAATTCTTGTTCTACTGATTTTAAAGTACACGCTTCAGATGTTGGCAGTTCTTGTACAAGTTCTGTGGATTCTGATTTTGTCGATTTTAACTCTGCTGGCTGTTGAGACTCTTTAATAATATCATCAGATTTGATTGTTTCTTTCACAGATTCGACAGACACTGGTTTTACTGATTCTTGAGCTTGTGTAGCTGGTGTGGTTGGAGGTGTTGGTGCAGTAACAGTAGGAGTATCGGGTGTCTTCAACTCTTTCAAAATATCTTTGGATAGGTCGAGCTTTTCCAATTGTTTAATAGCCAGATCACTACTATCGACTTCAAGTTCAGAACTCACTGGTGGAATAGTAGTTGACGTTTTTTTCAAAGCAGATTTCAATGGCCTTGGTTCTTCAGTATGCACAACTTCCGGTGGTGTAGGTGTTGTCACTGCAACAGCCTCAATACTAACTTCTGGAGCATTTCCAAGTGTTTCATTGATCTTAGACCATATATTAGAAAAGCTGTCTCTGCCTAAATAATCCATGTTTCCTTGTTCCCAAGATTGACGTCGCAGAAAATCTTCTAATGCTTTTTGGTCAGGGGTTTTTTCACCCAGTGGAACCCTGGCGAATTGTCCAGCCAAACCACCCTGAAAAAAATGTATACATTTAAAAATATGTAAATTCAAATGAGAATGTTTCTAAAAATGATTGTATAAGTATGTACATATTATATGTATAACAATATGTTGAATTCTACGATTATATACACTTAAAAATTATATAATACTTACATCTATATGACAAATCTGGTCCTTAGGTACCTCGCAATGTGTCGGAGAATCAGGACGACAGTTATTAACACTCAAACCGGAGAAGGGGTTATTGGGAATATCATCAGAACATGCAGGATTTTGTGTTTCACCTATTGACCGATCTGGCTCTGGCAGTTGCTTTTGCTCAATGAATTCTCTTACTTCTTCAACATGTTCATTATTCTGCTCATAATTTTCAAATTTATTACATTCTTCCACTAGATTATTCTGAAAACTACAGTCTCTTGTTTGCTCTTCCGTATCAAAGTTATTTATGCAATAATAGTTTTCCACTTCCTGTTCACAATGATTATTCGAACATACTTCCACCAAATTTCTATCACCACTAACATATTCCTTTTCAACTTCATAGTTTGTTTGCTCATTTTTTTCAACCAAATACACATCCCAGGGGTCAGTGAAATCATAATGATCCTCTTTTGGAGGTTCATAAGTAGGAATATAATAATTATTTGAAGAATTATCAGAAGTATAATTATTATCAGGAGTATAATTATTTAGATTATGAGGAGTATAATTATCAGACGTATTATTTTTATTATGGGATTCGGGATGAAAATCATAGGAATAACGGCTACTGAGGCGACTTTCTATCTGTGTAAAAAAAGCAAAAACAAAACAAAACGGTGCAAGTTATTTGTGTAAAATAGAACATGTGAAAAATAAATCAATTAAAAAAATACACCATTTAAGCCTAAATGAGCGCATGCAAAAAGCCAATTAACCATTGACAGAAGCCCCAGCAGCAGTTATGAAGGATGAGCGTATGCGTGTTTAATTTAAAAAATAAATGTTTAGAGTTTAAGACTAATATCTAGTAAAGCGTTATCACTTTACATACCATTTCTGAGTAGTTGTAACACTGGATCTTTTGAATATTTCTAGTTGAGCTTTATACAACACAAGTTAGTTCAAGCAAACAGTTAAAACAATGATCTTAGAGTACATAGGTTTTTGATCCCAAAATGTAAAAGTAATTCTTAAATTGTTAAATTTAGTAATTAATAATATGTTACCATTTCGGTGGAAAGTCCAGGATGGACATGACGACAGAACAAATCCCACCAAAGTTGCAATAATTCTTGTAATCCAGAACCTCCGTGTTTTGACGTTACAAGTCTAGTTTCTGTATTAAACGACTGAAGCCAGGGTTTACTTGAAGATATAAAGTGAACGATCTTCATATTTTGGCCAAACCTGAGAATGTAATTTTTTTAGTAAAATAACATTTTCAAAAAAAGAAGATCACATTAATTTCCTACTGTTTTAGTGCCGGTAAATATGAATACGTAGACGACCAAACTACATTATAGGTAAACGATAAATGTTTTGAAATATCTGTGTTGGACCATTCTTTGAAAAACATATTTAACAGTCCTTGGTCTCCACCTAAAAAACAAAATGCGAGCATATTCAATGCACAATAACTATTATAATTAATTACGTTTTACCATCGAAAGATCCTCTGGTCCTTGCAAATTCTAATAACTGGCCAAATGTGTCCTGAGAAGGTTTGTACACAAACACACCAGAGTTGAAGCAATCTGGCCATCCTGGATCCGGAGCAGCCGATAATTCTTCACGTTGAAATAGTTCATCACAGTTTTGCAACACCTTTTACATATAATTAATTTTGTAAAATATGACGCACAATAAAGTATTACCTAAACTAATTTTCTGAACAAAGTCCATCTAAACATTGTTTTTAATAATCAAATTGAACTTTGTAACAGTCAATGTATAGTATTATAGTTGTTTTACTTCGAGAAGTATTGTTCTCTTACAATATATTTTTTATCATATACATAATACATATTATAATGACGAATATATTATTATAATAACAAAATCCAAACAATTTTCAAGCTTTTATTTTTCTTTATAGTTCATTTTCATATTGTTGATACAACATTACAAGGTATATTATACTTTATCGAGTGTCGTAGTTTATCAAAGTAAAAGTGTGGTACTTATTAGAAGAAGATATTATATCTATTATGATAAGCCATGCAATATAAAAATCGTTTATAATCGTTTAATATAATTATTTCCTTTATTTGTAAGTATATTGATGAGAGTATTAAATGTTTAATATTGATAGAATAAATATAGGTATACAGGGTATGTATACAGAGTACAGGTAAAGGTACCTATAATTTTACTTCAAAAACAAAAAAAAATTATTTTCATACATCTAAATTTACACAACTAAATTGCTTTAATAATTAATTTGTGTATTTTACCTATTCGTAGGTGGAATAGCGCCGGCCTACATTATAGGATTGTAGGAAATAATTCATCAAACAATACATAATGTTATGCCTATTTAAGAAGCACTTTGAAAATGTATAATCTTCTAAAATTACATTACTACATTAGACAGTATTTTCGTAATCTCAGATCTTACATTGTACTTCAGTACATTAGTCATTAATGTAACTGATTCACACATTTTATACATTAGAATCGTGTAAATGCGCAGAGAACTTAAAATATTTTGGAACGACCCCAAGTACGAAATGTCTCAAGTGCCCCGACGTTGGTACATGTCTAAAAATACTAATAAATAACTGTGCTGAATAAATAAACATTTTCGTAACTACGCATAATAATCTAAACTATATTAGACATATCAAAAAAAATTATAATTACAAGTATAAATGTATTAAACGGTACTGTCACATCCCTTTTTTGCAATTGATAATACAATTTTTGGTAATAATATACCAGTGGCTTAATATATATATTCGATAGAAAATGAGATGATGACATTTTTTTTACAACTTACAAGACAGCACTAGTGCTTGCGAAAAAAAACTGCTAGAGTAGTTGTCGTGATAATGTAAATTTCATACGGCAACGTTACCGCCATCATCAAAAATTAATATATTTATTTCTATATACGGGAGGTATACAATCAAAATTTACTATTATTGTACCACATGTTTGTGTTACCTAATTACGCGAAGCATCCTCGCGATGTTATAGGTACACTGATCATCCAACAATAAAATGTTGTACACCTATAATTCATTCCTAATCCACGTAATGAAAATATATTGCAATTTAGGACTCAAGAAAAAGTTACATTTGAATCTATGAACTAATAAATATTAAAGTGGACAGGTAATCGATTTAAACTGAGTTACTGTATTTGTTTTTATATTTTTAAGATGACAATGTTATGAGATAATGGTGTGCAAATCTAATAAATATTAAAATAGTTATTACCTATTACAAAGACATTATTTACTAACATTTTCGACCCTAAATTAAATTACTTTTTAAGAGGTAGGTACTTGAAGAATCTTCATGGTTTATTTTTTAATAATTAAACATTTGCATTCATTAATACTAATAATATTGTTTACTAATATATGATGATTGATGATTAATGGAGGAAATGAATTGTTGTTTTCGGAGCTAATTCGGAGTATTTGAACTATAACTATTATAACATTTATACATAGGTACCTATCATGATTCATGGATATAATACATAACATTATTCGGTATACGTTGTGGATACAATACTATAATATATTTTAATTTAATAAGAAAAATGTTGCTTATACCAATGTGTCTGCGTCGAGGAACACGCATTTATCGTAATTGGTAAACGTCCAGCAATGAAGTTTGGTGAAAGTCACTCCGAGTTCGGGGCGACACATCAGGGCCAAATGTGTTTGATCCTTAGAATCCAATACGTCTACTACTTTGACTTCATCGAATACGGCTTCGATTTGTTGTCTAAACAACAATAATTTTAAAAAAATTGCTTAGAATTTACACGAAGAAAAAAAAGAAGTAAAGTATAAGTGAAGCAAAAACTTAATATTTTATGATGCGTTTCATATATTTATTTATTCAAACATACTTCATAGGCGCCGTTACACCGGGTGTAATTAGTATGGCTAACTTGTACACAGTTCCAACGGTTTTCAACGAATGCGCCAGGACTAATGCTCCCAAGGAATAGGAATCGTTCGTGGCCAATGTCACCCATGCATTGTCTGAAAATAATTCAAAAAACGATAAAAAATTATTTAATATAGGTACCAAATCTTGAACATGGGGTAATATAATAACACAACTAAAAAGAGAATTACAATATTATTGAAAATAAATATTATGATAGCGTCTAGAAAATGAAATAATATTTGTTATTAATCGAATGTAAAAAATGTAACAAATAATGAACAGTTTTAAGTCAAAATAATAAATAAATAAATAAATAATAATAATAATAATAATAAAATAATATAGTAATGAGTAATGACGTAATGGTCATTAATTTACTGGAAACTCATGTAGAGTGCAAACTGCAATTCTATTAAAAACTATAAACACATAATTCAAATAAGAATATTATAATTTGTAGGTTCAATTTAAATAAAATCACAAATAATAGGTGTATCTACTTAATTAATACGTTTTTAAAATACTAAATTAAAACATCAATAATTTACAAATTATTTTATATGTAAATTAATATTAATCAAAATACTAAAAAATTGCTGTATGGTAGCTAATAAAGTTCATCACATGTTTCTCTATACGTCATCGTTTAAAGTCTGATCAATGATTAGATATTATATATACTATCTATGATCGTTGCTATGTAAGATTACTAATTGTTTAACCGAATATTTTGATTTACTGACACTTGTGAATTATAATCAATATAACAATGTATTAATACAAATTAATATTATGGCATATCAACTTATAGAATAACCATGGTAAGTTGTTAAATAATAATTTATTATATTTTTAGTAGGGTACTTTATATTATATAATTAGTTTTTTCAAAATTTTAAACGAATATTTTTTTATTATTAACATACGATAATTGTTTTCAGTCTCAACTGTTACTAAAATCTATAATTATTGCGATTGAATTTATTGGTAAATATTTGTTTTTCATTAACTAATCAATTAAATAGTATTGATTATTAGGTCCATAGTGACAATTTGTTCAATAATTTTCCTATACCTATTCAGGTTGTTACATTTGATCGGCAATTGTTTGGTTAACAATTTAAACATTAAATGTAAATTTTTTTCAGAATTTAAATCAAAATATGATTGAATTCGGTCGTCTTATGATAGTTACTTTTAAAATAGTTATAGCAGTGTACATGGTTTACAAAACCATAAGCAATGGAGATCGTGAAGAACGTTTGATATTGATGGACTACTGGTGTGCGATTGGTTTCTTTGCACTCGTGGAGTATATTTCCGACAAGTATTATGACCATGTATTTTGTTTGATATCAAATTGAATGTTGCTCTGCTCACTTACAATGATATATAAATATATTTTGTGATTAGTTTGTAGAAATGTCCTACTTGAAATCAACTCGTTCGAAAAGAACAAATAGGAATAGTCTAATGAAATAGGCAATAATAAACTCATTTCAACACAGTAATTACGATGGTGATAATATGTTTTTTTAATTTTCAGATTGTTTGATTGGTTACCATTTTACCAAGAAATGAAACTTGGCGTTTCACTGTGGCTTTATTTCGCATTTGGGTTTCATCTATTATTTACCAAAATAGTTGAGCCAGTGTTCCAACTATGTAGCTCGATGTTGGCTCGTTTTATGGCCATTACAGATATTATGTTCATGAACTTTGGGAATATTTTCTGGAGTTTTACAAATCGTGTTTAATCGTACAATTCAAATGGATGATTACTTTTAAAGTCCCACACGACTTATTTAAATTAATAATCTATTAATGGTTATTTATTGGCTATGTTGATGTATGCGATGAAGCCATATTATAATCATTAAAATTAGGACAAAAAGAAAAAAGATCTCTGAAAATTAATTTTTGTTATATCAAAATTCAAAAGTAAAAAAAAATCTATCAAGTTTTTTTTAATGTTGTTTTTGGTGGTAAATAGTCTGTACGAAATCTTACACTTGTACATCATATGATAAACGGAAAATATTTTGTCATTCCTGTATAGATAATTATAAAATATGTATATTGTATAGGTATTTGTCACTAAATTTGTTTGAAATATATGCAGTGCACACAACGTATATATTAAAACGTATATTATTGTACCTATTAATAATTAACGTACCTATTTTTACAATTATAACACTCTGCAAGAGTCGAGATTAAGATGACACAAGAAAATTAAAATTTTGGAATCATCCCAATGCTTGTTGTTTTGGCTAATACATTACTGATTCAGGTGTGATTGATTGAATATTTGAATCGATTAATTGAACTACAAATGGGTAGTATAATAATTCATAAGTTATAAGTAATCATAATTCAAATTCATAATATAAATGTTATACAGTAGACAATTAACAATTACAACACAATAATTAATAGAATATAAAAACGATTGATAAGGTATTTAAATTTTTAAAGTTGTGCATTTTTTTTCATTAATTGTTCATTTATTTATTATTATTACATAATTTGTAGGAATGTGCAACCTTTTTTTTAGATTTATCAATCAATAACGACTATACTTTGTAGAATTGACTCAGTACAATCAATGAGTCCATATTAATGTTGATTAAATTATCATTTATTTTGTTCAATGAAATTAAAATTTATATACATAGGTAATATTGTGGTATGGAAAGTGTTTAGGTAATGATTATGCAATTGATACATTGTGATTCTTATTAATTTAGATCTTTTGGCTTATGTGTACCAAACAAACGAGGCGAAAAACAAGTTAGTTCTAAGTATAAAAAAAGTACAAACAGTTACAGTATTTATTTTTTGATAATTATCTACGTCTAAACTGAGTTATATTTCATATGAGCAATTTAGTGAACCAATGTCAAAATAATCATCTATGTGTATTGCTAAATGCCTATCATATTATTTAAGGGGAATAAGAGTTGATTTCCGAACATAATAAATAATACCTTCGTCTTTCATGTTACCCAATATTCTTAGTGTTGAGTGTTAACACTGTATTACTGTTGTAAATAAAACTGAGTAATGTCTAATAATTATGTATATCAATTACATTTGCTAGTTCATAACAAATTAAAAAATTAACATTAATTTTGATAGTTAAAGTAATCGAATATTATATAGAGTGAACAAATAGTTACGATCATATTATGATATCTGTTTTTCTTTTATTTATTCTTTTATTAGAAGCTCATGGCAGTAATTGTAATATTTTATTCAAAACGTATAATTATACTACATAATATTTCACACTAACAAATCAAATATTTAATATTTAAATAATACATGGATAAAGCGAAATAATAATCAAGCGAATAATTATCATTATAATAGATTCAGAGCGGAGCGATTAATGAATTATTGGTTTTACTATGTTTTTAGTTTATGCGTGTCTGTCATCAACTATTAAAGCGGTAAAAATGTACCAATATTCAAGTAGCAAATTGAATCTGTTTAAATTATTAAAAGGTCAAAAGTAAAAAAAAAAATTACTTTTTAGAATAATCGAAAAAAATTAGGCATACAATGGTAAGTATTTTTATGCAAAATCCATATTTTGACAATAAACATTTAACTTTTTTTTTTTTTTTTTTAAACTGAATTACTGTAGAATATCGAATTTTTATCCAAATATTTATTTTATAATTATCTAAAGATTATTATTATTATTTTATCAAAATCATTTATTTTTTCTTGTGCTAATATTATGAGTAAACATTTTTGATGTTCTAATTTTATTTAGTTATTTTCTTGGTTATATTGGACCTATAACATTTTTATTCATGGTTCAGAGTAAAAAAAGTTAATAATTTAGACATTTCAAGTTCATGTTTTGACGAAATTAGGAAAAGTAACGATTTAGGTATTTTTTTGTTATTCAAACAATATTATTCGTAGGGACATGAAACTATTTTTAATTACGTATATTTTTATTAATATAAAAAATAAAATTTTCATAATATAGGTAGGATATATTTTAAGTTATTTATGCCATGAACATAATCCTCACTACTCTACAGTATACGTCGGTATTGACAATTTATATTTTATAACAGTATAGTGGTATTGAGGGAAATAGTATTAAATTTATTATTAAAGATTTGTTTTTGGATAAAATTAATTCAACCTACCATAGTAATAATAGAATAATGAACTACTAAAAGCAATATAATTTATGACAAAATGTCCTAATAAATACTACTAATGACGAGGTACACTCGACTCTTAACTACCCAACAGAGACACTTCCCTGGATTTTTTTTAGTTGAAAATTAATTAAATTTTCTAAGAAATGAAAGAAATAACTTTTAAAAAATTATGAATTACATAAATAAGTATCTAATTATTTTTAAGTATCTTTAGGTTTTGGTTAATATATGAGAACGTAAAAAAAATAATGGACTATGAAGCCAAAATTGTGTTTGACCAATAATAATAATAATAATAATAATAATAATAATAATAATAAATTGTAATTTATTTTAATTCAATTATACAAATTACATTTTCTTTAAATAAATTAGAATAAGCCTAGGTCATTTTTTGGGTTATCTAAATTGAAACGTATGTCTAAAGTGTAACCAATCGTAATTAAAAAATGAAATTATTATAATATAATAATATACTCCGGCATTTGACTTTGAATCTAAAAATAACATGATAAGACGTTTGAGCCATTAAAAAATATAAATACATATCTAAAGACCTTCAGGTAAATAGGTATTAAAATATTATAAACCTAGCTAGTAGCTGTTCAAATACATATGTATAAAAGTTTTTTGAACAATTAATCTAAATTATTATCAGAGTTAAAGTTTACCAACGCACAAATATTTTAACAGCACAGGACTGTACAAATTTACTGCCTTTTATAAAATAATAATATAATTTTACTGTAGACAGTCGCTATTATAAAATACTGATAATGAATCAATATCATATTTTATATTATTTGAACTTTATAGGCTCATATCAAATATCAAATAGTTGAAAAGTGGGTACACGTGTATTCGTTGCGTAAGAAAATTAGTTTTGGAAAAAGTATACGACATGCCTATTATGACAGCAGCTGTATATAGGTAAGAAACGTCATATACTTATAATATTTTGTTATCATCAGTCGATTAGTTTTATTTTTCTATTGATTTTAAACACTTTGAAGTAAGTATATTTCATTCAAGTTTATAAGCTTACTTAAATACGTATACTAGGTAACGTCTTAGTCTTATAAGTAGGTATAAAAATTGTCACATGTTTTTTATTATTTTAAGATATTAATGGTACCGTACCAAATATTTATAATTTTTAAAATGTTTAAATCATAATAAATAAATAGATATTTAAATTTTAAATTATATTCATTATGTATCAAACCACGTATTTATCTATTAAGTAGATAACTTAACATTTATGGTGTTAATGAATTACTTTTAACTACGAACTTTGTATTTGGTAATCTTTAGCATAAAATAGATGATACTGTAAGTACCTATTAAAGTATATAATAGGTCTCTGAATAAATTAAGGTCGTTAACACTAATCGCAAGGCGAAACCAGTAGGTAAAGCTTACATATTCAATCGTCAAGTTCATTTAGTCAACAATTCAACATTACCGAATTTAATAAACAAGATCAGTATTAATTTGAGTAAGTAGGTATACTCGAGATAACTTAAATTACGATTATTATGTTATTATATTGTCAACATTAAAAATTAAAATCTTACTTTTATTTAAATTTTAAAATCAAAGGAAATTAATAATTAATTATGTATATTTTTGTTATGAAAAACCCATTTATAATTTATCAAACTGTAACAAAATATGTAAAATAAATATACTATTCAACATTAATGATTTAATTTAATTTCACCTTGATTACCAAATATAATGTATACCAAAAATATTATGTCAATTGGTTATAGTTATTGCTTATTACCCTTTTTATAAGAACGGCCGAATTCATTTCCTAGTAGATTAAGTCATGATTATGTCAAAACTCAAAACTCAAAACACAAAATTGTAAATAAACACCTATTTATCTCACCAAAAATTTAGGTTTAAACCTTATGCCAGACATAATATAATTGTGCTAATTTTAAAGTTTGTCTATCAACATAATTTTATGAAGCCAAGTTCAAAATGTGGTAAAATATATCTAAATTCAAAACAATTTCGAAATAGAATTCAAAGTTAAATATAGTAACATTGATTTATGTAATCGAAATTACATAGGTACTATTACTATTATATATTATTTATGTGTAAGTTAAGTTGTAAATCGTTCACCAAAAAAGTTTCTTTTAAGTATGTACCTTTTACTTAAACAGTAGTAAAGAAAAAAAATTATAGTTGCAAATCATGTGTAATAACATCCCTACCAAAAAATAAAAGCTGTATAACATATACAATTAGCCTACACTTTACTTATTTTGTTACTCGTCGGTATGTATTAAACTGTTTGATATATGAAAAGCTCACAGTCGAATTTATTGTACCTACAACCTTAAAAAATAATAGTACTCAATATCATTATTTAAATTTTCAACGATTTCATATATATCGAGACTAATTGGATATTGACAGTGTTAAACGTGGAAAATATATAAAAGTTATATAATTAAAATTTGGTGTAATTGGCATATTATTATTATGTATATATTTCAACGTTGTTATCTGAGGCCTGCGGAACACCTTTTGGCATGATAATAGTCCACGGTGAATAGGTAATCCCGTTTCGATGAAATATTAAAGATAAGGCTAAAAGAAACATTTGTTTAGTGGCTATGTATAGCTGGTCAAAATATCATCACTATCAAAAATATAGATTATTGCGGTCGCATTCGCATTGAATAAAATGTACTTTGAGATTGACCACCATATGACGATCTTTACAGGGTCAATATAGCTATAAGCGAAAAAAGCGCACTACCAAAAATCTAGAGATGAGTTTAATGCGCAGTTATAACTGCGCAGTCGTTGATGTAATAATAGAGCGGACCACTGGCTACGAGATATACCTATATATAGATGTATATGTGGAAAACGGGAAAAATAGTCATGACTATACAGCTGTGCCACTGTCGTCCCTGTTCCGTTCAACAACCCGATGGGGTCAGTTATAACTGTGCAGGTGGAGGGGAAAAGTTTTTCAAAAATCAAATAACCTAACGAGGTCTAAGGGGTGGTTCTTATTTAAAAATACGTTTTTTTTTGTTCAGTCTAAAAACTTGCACTCAATCAACCAATCGATTGCATCACATTCACCCTTACTTTTCCGTTATTCACGGTTTTAATCATCGACTGCTATATAATATGAACTATTGGACAGGACGATATTCGATAAATTATTTTTGTGGTTTCCAAAAAGTATTTTCCGTAAAACCATGTAAAAAGCTCGCACATTGGCGCCTGTGGTATATTTCGACGTATAAATACACATACGGTACATATACGGTAACTAGTTCAATTTCGTGTCATCGTATTATAAAGCTGTACAGGTTACTAACACTTCCTACACACAGAAATCGTAGACGATTGAGGGGCTGAAAAACCAACGCTATCGACGGGGGGGGAGGCTATTATATATAGCAGATACTGTATAAGAAGACACGCGGTCGCGGTCCAGTCGTCGCCCCGAGAACGAAATCGAGAGAGAAAAAGTCACGATATTTCAGGGAGCGAAAGTCGAAAACTCATACTCAGTAATAATACTTATATAAATATGAAGTATAAAAACACATCTTACGAGGACTGTCTACTGCATAATATAATATAATATATAGCGTATCTGCAGGTGGCTTTGATAATTTTACATTGAGATCATACATCAATATTATGCTACTTATTTTTTGTCACTCCTCTGCTGTCTCTGAATCAGCTTCTACATCGAAATTATACTGTAATCCACAATGGACTTCGGCCTATCTACATTCGCCGAGATTCTGTTTCATTGAACAGCACCAAGGGAGTAACCCGCCTACCAGCTGGTATTTGGTATATAGGTATACCTAGTATATTTGACAAAACTATCGCTACGTTCATGATGAATTATACTAAACCTATTTGGACAGTAATACGATGGATAAAAGTATATTTTATCGACTTACTGTCCGTCATACATTTTCGGCACAAGAGTGCGACAAACAAATATTGCGACCTACACTCCCGACACACCCTGTATGGCGTATATTATTATTATAATACATATTGCACGGTTATGGTTTTACTCACTCGGTGACGACATGATTCGCGTATCGCTTTTCACCGGTCGTCGTCGACAGTATGGATGGTAAAATATTGTATGTCTCCTCCGACTCTGTTGTCCTGAGCGTGCACTCAGGTCACCGGACACTCGCGTGCGACCGTGGTATACTTGCCCGTGTCTCTGGTCGGGGTCGGTCGGTCCGTTGCACAACGATATCTGCTGCGCGCTTTACGTCACTCCAAGTACGTGTATGATTTGCGCGTGTGTGTAATATACTTCGCGGGCTACGTCGACACTGGGAGGAAAAAATTCAAATTTTAATCCACGACTATATAATATTATTCGCAGTATTTACGTCGGCGGCGGTGGTATTGTATTTGGGGGTATTATTGTTATTATATCGTATGTGTTTTGGTGAGTTGGTTTCCTTTTCCTCCCGGAAATCAATCGGCGAACGACGAGAACGACGACGACGACGACGACGACGACTACGACTACGACGACGAGATCCGGTCAATGTGCACTGCTGCACGAGAATGACGCGCGACTCGACGGGTACCTTTACGGTCGTGCGGCGATTGCGCCGCGGCGGCTGCGTGCGTCGCGATTCCGGCGGCGGCGCTCGTCGGACGCATCACTATCGTTATTTCGATTGCGGTGTATAACAATAATAATAACGATGGTATTATCAAATAATTATAAATAATTATAAAAAGCAAAAAGTACTAAGAAACACAGTTTCGGGGCAATCAATCGAGTTGTCGTTTTGCCTTGGAATTTGTGAAGGCCGTGGGAGAGAGGTAGCAGTCACACATTATATTATTATTATATACAAACTTTTTTGAAAAACCTTTTTACTGATGTAAAAAATTTAAATGTTTCCACCTAATATAGTCTGCATGGGAAATATTTTCAAATTCTTCTTAATAGTACTTACATTGTATACAGCTAGGCATGTCCCTTGAATAAGAAACTTGAAAGCCAAGGCTCCACTAGCACACCCTTCACGGAAAGCAGTGCACTGCTCTTGTTTTTATAATACCTAGCATAATTTATGAGCAATGTTTTGTGACAAACCCACCGTCTAATATTATACTGTAATATTATATATTATTTAGTATTCGAGTGCAGTCAGTGGCCAGTGCACAGTGTCACGACTCTGACGAAATGCATAGGCGTATATGTATGATTATCTACATTCGACTTCCATATTTTATTATTTTCTACTACTATTTTCTAAATAGAAAAAAATAAAATTTCGACCATTCAAAAAATTACGTTTACATAGTAATTACAGGCACCTCATATTTGTTCCTACTTCGAAAATCACGTCACTATCCCGGTACGATAGTAAAGTAGAATTAATAATAATATAGTACACTAATAAACTCTGACCGGTACCTACCATTCGCCTATCTCCTATGATGTACAGCATAATACCTCAGTGCAGTATATTGCCACAGACATAACAGTGACATATCCACCGAGGCGATGGATTGTGACGACTGACCGTGAAAATATTTAACGTTATTTTGGAACACTCTGTATATAATATTATACCCGTGTGCACGGTGCAGTCGTACCTTATATACGCGAACGTGTGAGCACATGCATATAATATATATACACGATTATATTATATTTATGTTATTTTAAAGACCGGCTCCGATGACGTTACCTACGAGTACGTTTTGCCCGATAACGGTCGCTAGAAAATAATATGTAATATACATAATAATATAATGGCGTTATACACTCTGCCCTCTACGTAGGTACCTATATACGCACTCGTATACGATATGATGATGTGCGAGACCCCGCCACGAGACGATGCTCTTATCGCATTTGGTTATTTTCTCTCAACACGTACTGATAATATTATTAATATTACGGCGACGGCGACGGCAGCTGTGGTATGTATATTATATTATGCGACCCTCTGACCTCGGCGAACGCAGTAAAAACGGCGTGTATGTAAATATCTCACGCGGACGTAGGATTTTTTTTGTCAGTCGAAAGGTCTGAGGCGATTTTTTTTTTTAAATCCAAATGTTTGGAACTATAAATATTTTTAAGAGGTTTCCTCAGAAAAAAAGACCTCACCATCAAATATGGTTACCGCGCGGTCGGCGGGCCACTATCGCTTATAGGTGTGTAGAATGTAGGTACCTACCTATAACCTATAAGTTATAAAGCCTATATATGGATAAGTAAGTATCGGTATAGGCTCCCGTTTGTCCGCTCCGGCTCCTTCATTTCACTTGAAGGTGGCCGTATCGGCTCCGACCCAATGCCAGTGGTATGGACGTATCGGCTCCTAATCAATAGACATTTTCCTTCCCATTAACAAGCTGAGGACTGGCTACAGTGAGAGGTAATTCTCTTTAAGATTCTAAAAAATTGTAATGACTTTTGAAAAATAGTTTTGACTTAAAAAAATAATTTTGAGTTTTAAAAATAGTGACTTAAAAAAAAATTAAAATCAAAAAACTTGTGGTTTAAAGGAATTTAAAGGAACTTAAAGGAATTTTTTTACGTTTCTGCTCTGGTAATTTTTCCTTGTTCAAATTGATCAATAAAGGTCTGTATAATAAATAACAAATGTTTTGCTGGTTATTAGTTTTTTTTCCTGATATTCATGTTGCAGAGCTTTATATACACGTGTCAGCGGTCAGCCTGTTTCTGCTTCAAAATGTCCATGAAATTGAAAATGTTAGGATGAGCAGACGTATACGTGAACTCGAAGTGAAATTTTGCGTGGAAAGATTCGCAGCAGTTCGTGGTGCAATCGCCTTCACTCGACATATCAGCGCACATTTCCGGGGGGGGGGGGGGGGGAAATGTAAGTCATGTAAGTAATTGGCACAAATGTAGTCGAAAAATACTGTGAGTTGCTTGTTATACCTTCTGGTTTAGCGCAAACAAGTATTCTACCATAACAACTCACAACCTGATCAGGTGGAAGCAATGGTAAACCAAAAAACATTTTTAAAATACTTCCGATAGTGTTTGAATTCTGGTGATAAACTAAGTGCTTGAATTTTCCTCCACAACGATTGGGCTTTACGAATAAAATCAAAAAAAAAAATCGTAATCGGTGACACTTCAAAATTCGTTATTGTAGGTAATCGGACGCAATACGGCCACTCAACGGACGGCAAGGAATAATGACCAGTAACGGACTCATTAAAGTCTAGCGGGAGCCGATTTAGTATCATCCATAATATTCCATATATACATGGATCTATGGGTATTGGGTACCTATATAGTATACAGGGTGATTTTTTTATCGAAGAACACTCATTATTTCAAAAAGTATTAATGTTTAAGAAAATATTTTTTTACATAGTTTCAAGTTGTTAAAAAACAATATTTTTATTAAAAAATTATATTTTTAAATATTTTTTATCCTTTTAATTTTTTAAGTTTTTTACTTTTTTGAATGACAACATCTAATTTTAATTTGATATTCAAAAACAGAATATTTTTCTGAGTATTTCGATACATAAAAATTGAATTTAGGGCAATTAGTTTATGAGTTATAAGTATTTAAAGTTTAGATGAGCGGAGTAGAGTGGTACGGGGTTACCCCGCGAAATGTTTGTCCTCTACTCCGCTCATCTAAACTTTAAATACTTATAACTCATAAACTACTTGCCCTAAATTAAATTTTTATGTATTAAAATAATCAGAAAAATATTCTGTTTTTGAATATCAAATTAAAATTAGATGTTGTCATTCAAAAAAGTAAAAAACTTAAAAAATTAAAAGGATAAAAAATATTTAAAAATATAATTTTTTAATAAAAATATTGTTTTTTAACAACTTGAAACTATGTAAAAAAATATTTTCTTAAACATTAATACTTTTTGAAATAATGAGTGTTCTTCGATAAAAAAATCACCCTGTATATTTAATGTAAATATAAAAATGTATGACAATTATATGTAAATTAAAAACTTATTTAAAAATAAAACAAAATTTATTAAAATACTGAAATATTTCACGAAATACTAATTATTTTTAAATTTTAGGAGATTTCAAACACTAATTATAATATAGAATCGTGACATTTACATTTAAATAATATTATGGTGGACGGGTTAGGTTAGGTTAGTTCCAGCTAGACTCAATCAAACTTATAGTACAAAAAATCTAGGCACAGATTGTTGAATTCAAAACAATAACATACAAAATAATAGTAATATTAGTAATATAGACTATATAGTATAATATATGTGTCCTATTATTATTATTATTCCGTCTGAAAGTTTCACTTCTCGCGGATGTCCTCAGATATAAGCACTACAAGTGCCTCTGAAATTCTATAAAATAATCCGTTGGTTGTTGAGTATAATGTTTTGATAGGTTCGTTAGGTTCGTTAGGTTATAATTTTTTTTATTGTACATCCAAGTTCAATAGACACTCGACAGTCGACGGTCGATTATTTTTATATTATCATTCATCATAACTGTTTTTGTAGGTAAGTACCGGTTTTGTCAATAATTAATTGATTAATACCTTGATTAACCTTGATTTCATATACCTACTGATAAACTCTGTTTACGGCTCAGTGATGAGATAAAATACTTTTATTTATCTACTATTATTCTGAAACGTATATATAAGTGTATACTTGTTATAGGTACTTTGCTCAATATTTTAAAACTTCATAACAAATTTAAGAAAAATTCTGACAAGATACTGTGAATCTGCAGCAGGCTATGGGAACTTTTGTGTGCCTTTTCAATTTTATGATTTCTTACTAGAATAAAAGAAAAATAAAAACAATATTAAAGTATAGAATTTGAAAAACGATTTTGGTAAGATTTTGGCTTCAAAACGACTTACGCAGATGACTTTTCTTCAATATTTGTCAACAGGTATTGACTGTATTGTCGATGCAGGTGAAAATCTATTTACTTTTGTCTCTTAACGTAACCTTCAAGATAAAATTGTTTATCCATATTTTATCCATAACTATGCTACATATATGAAACTTTTGGAAGTCCCCTTCAATCCAAAAGTTTTTCATCAA